AAGTTAAACAAGTATTTGTTCTCTTTTGGATCAGGTATTTCAGCACATACAATTCTATCCACAGCTTCCGAAGAATATGTCTTTGATGCTTGATCAAGAATGAGTAAAAAATGAGCATAAGGTAAACCTCTTTTCTGATACTCTATCACATATGTGTAAGCAACAACATTACCAAAGATTTTTTCCTTAAATAATTCATTCTTTAGAACTGCAAATTTTGCCTGAAATATTCTAACTATTAAATCAGGCATGTTTTGTGTTTCATCAATAGGTAAACATAAAGCTTTAATTTCAGGCCAATTTGGATTACATGTTATGGTTAAAAAAATATCTGGTTTTCCATATCGTTGAACTAAAGCTATAGCATCCATGTATCTTTTACGCATATCTCTAGGCCCTCCAATAAAAGATGTGGGCAATATTACATGTTTTCCAATTTCGGCACAAGTTTTGTACCCTTGTGCCATACTATCAAGTACATTACAGTATATTTCATTTCGTAAACGGGTTTGCATTTCATCACTTCTCAAAAAATGTAATCGTGATGTTTCAATTCTCATATACATATCTATAACATATTGTTGTGGGAGCCTGCCCACACGTGTAGCAAAAACGAATCATCATTATCCCTAATTTGTAGCTTATAACAATAATACTGACGACAAGAAACATTTTTTTGTTTCTTGTTTTGGGTTTCTTGCACGCTAATTTTCAACTTGTAGAAAATTCTCAAGATCTGTAAAGTTTTCAATGTGATAAAAACCCTCCCCTTCACAGATTGGGTTAGGGTTTGATGGTTTCTTTTCTTTATCAAAACGGACAATATTTTGGTGCCAACCAGGATCTCCATAAGGGAATATAAGGGGATACTGTAATGGGTCATAACAACCAAAATAATAGCTGATAATTTAAGGAAGACTATTTTCCTTTTTTGGAAAAATTTGGATGTGCTGGTTTCCAATAAGTTGACCTTCATCAGGTTCCAACCGTATTCCAGCAACTTGAGATGACATAGGTTTATTAGAAGTACCCTCATCAGGAACTAGATCTATTTGTAAAACAATTCTTGCTCCATCAAGAATATCAGTACAAAGATTTCGCAAGAAGGTAGCATAAGGGTTGTCATTTGAAATTTTGAGAAGTGTTGTTATAATGGATTCTCTAAATTTCGGGTCAACTGATAATCGATTTGCAATCTCATGATCTGTATCATAAAAGTAAAGCTGAAGGTTATGGGGTTTTTCCCCATTCTGTGGAACTATTTCAGGCATAAAATGATATAACTGATCCTGAACTCGAAATGTATATATACCATGATCTCTTTTTGCTAAATTCTTATCATAATGAGCCCCAAATGATGTGAATGCAAACATGTTGTTATAGCGTCGGATACAATCGCGAAAGTATTTGGCATCTTCAGAATTGCCTAAGTATAGATCTTTTAATCTAGGATGCATTTTAGTTCCTAGCAGTTTTATTTCTCCTAATGAACAGCGAAATCCAGATGGTTCTGAATAAATACGTTTAGCATTACAATATTTACAATTTGGTACATTAGACAGCAAGTCAGGACAACTAACTATATAATCCAATGGATCAATACTAGTGTTTGGAGGTTGAATTATGTTAGCATCAATCAATTGTTTTCCTTTCCGTTTTCGTTCCTGTTCATTTTTTATCTGCCTATGTTCCTCTAAAGAAGAGTATTTTCTTTTTCGCGATAATGAAGGTTCTTCTACATCTAAATGTGTAATATTTTCAACCTTTTTACGTGGCATTTTTTTCTCTTTTTTTAAGGTTTTTTTATCCAACAGATAGCAATACACTAATAAAGTATAAAAACGAAAAGGAAATTACAAATTTACAAAAAAAAGAAAGTGATGAAAATATAACAGAAGGAAAATAGCAATGCACGAAATAAAAAGAACCTAAATCTGGCTATTAACTAAAGCAGTAAAGACACAAATACAAGTACGAAATTGGAGATGAAGAGCGTACCTTATTCGTTATAAACTACCTGAACTTGAAAATTGGAAACAACTAATACAATGTGCAACACTAAAACACAAAAGAGTAGTATAGGTTCAGTTTTGTATTTAATTTATAAGAAAACTTAAGTGAACATAATAATTTCACCCATATAGACAAAACATTGAACACTTCAACCACAAAACAAACATTAACATGGTGTCCCAGCAAGTTTAAAAACTAAAATATAAAGTGGAGAAGAACTATAGGCCACAAAAGAAATAATAACATGATATCCCTTTGTCTATCCATCCAATTCGGGCAACTAGTAACTCAAAACAAATGAGAACTAAAATTTAAAATAGACAAAAGGCACACAGCCCTTGCAATGGAAAACCAAATTTCAATCACACGAAACGAACCGAATGAAGAACAATGTTGCCGGAACCACTGAGATTTCAATCCCAGTTCTAAATCAAAGGAACAGTTTTCATTTTAAAAGTTCTTGAATTGAGAAATAAAGAAATGAGATGTTTGGCTTCTAGAAAAGAAGAGATACTTCAATTTTGGGAGAAAGGGAGTCTGACTGTAACTCTATGGAAGAAGAACACGAAAAGAGAGAAGAGGAAGGCCTGAGTTAATTATTAGCGAAGACTACCCATGCTCCACAATCACAGGGAATCGGTAAAAAAAAAAAAGTTCTTAATTATTAGCAAAAACTCAAAGAAACGAAATCCAACCTGATTGCGAACTCCGGCAATATATCTCTTCAAATAGCAAACAAAATAAATTCCTAAGCATAACTCTATTTCCTAACCCCTAGGTTCAATTTACCACTTCTATTTCATAAACCTTTACATGCAAAGAAATAAAACAGAATTAAAATATCCCAACTCCGTAACAAGTTAGTTTTCTTGCTTAACTTTTCTGATCCAAACAACACACGGCACAAACAGGAACCAGATTTATAGGAACCAATGCAACGTGTAATGTGAAGCTAACAATCCGATGCAAAGAGTACTCTTGAAACCATCAAAACATTTCAAATAATAGCACAAGTCAGGTAGCTATTAGATTGAAAATAATCTCAATATTAGGCAGGTCAAATCTACAACTCTACACGGTGCCTAACAGTTTTTCTATTGTAAACATTTCAGCTAACGCAGTTGAAGTTGACATTTGTAGGAGCCAAGCATCGTACCATGTAAAGCTAACAATCTAAGACAAAGAGTACTCCCAAAACTACCAAAATATTTCACATAACAACACAAGTTAGGTAGCTATTAGATTAAGAGTAATATGTTCCACAAATAGTAAAATCATCAAATTTGGCATAAATCACCAAAAAAGAAAAAGAAAAAGGAAGCCAAATTGACCTACTGTGAGCTTAAAAACTCCCACAAATTCCCCAAAAATAGAGGGAAGTTTTTGTTGTTTTTCATTATTTTTTCTTTAACGTAAATGTAACCCTGTGCTACCAATTAACATTTGGTCATTTGGCAAACAACACATCGTTCCCTTGAACTATTTGAGGAGGGGGCAAATTTAAGAAAAATAATTTTCTGTTCCTTTTTCTTTTCCACGATATATACACATCATGCTCAAGTGGACTTCACAGCCACATGCAGAAAAGAGCAAGATGAGTTAAATACCTTTCAATATATGTAAATGCTCAAAAGAGCAATCATGTAAGCCAACGAAATCCACATATATTAATTTCTAGATCAATCTACATGCTATTTCTTAGGGGCTAAACAAAAACACATAGTATACAACTTCAATTGAAACAAATTTCTGGACAATAAAAGCAACCAATCAAATAAAATTAAAATCCGAGGAGAAAAAAACGGATGAATTCGAGACCAGCACCCATAATCATACATCATCAACCATTAATTTCAAAAGAGAAACAAAAGTAATTGAAAACTAACCTCTAATTTCTTCTCGCAGCAAAAGCAATACTTGCTGATGTCCCTATTTTTCAATTAGGTTAGATTTGATAAATTCAGAAAATGGGGGAAATAACAAAGAACTGGTGAAGGAACAAAAAAAAAAGGGAAAGATTGGACACGTAACTGCCAAAAATGAGAGGAAGAGAATACACGTATAATAGGCAACAATTATCGGATGGCAATTCACACGAAATCGAATGAAGAACAAAGGAATTGAACCCACAAATTCGAAATTAACCCGACCTTCTTTGTATTATAGTTTACGCACTGAAATTGAACCACCCATGCCCCTCAATTGCAGCGAATCGGTGGAAAAAAAAACCGTCCTGAATTATTAGCGAATCGGCGAACTCCGGCGATATATCTCCTTCCATCGCTGAAAACTATTGTTGGATAGTTTGAAAGAAAAATGGACGGGAAGATGAAAGAATCGGTGCCGAGATGGGAAAGAAGAAGATGTCCGATTACATTGCGTTGGATAATTTCACTTGGCGACACGTGTAGAGAAGATTGACGGGTCACCGTACCTAAACAGGCGGATTCCCGGTGAACTCGCCCTTATATATAGTTAGATTTTGAAATAAAATACTTTTTACTACCTAAAAACTTAAAAATAATTTTGTTTAAAACTTATTAACATGCAACATCACTCTTTTCTCTTTGTTTCTTTTTCTACGAGAAATGTAACACAATACATGTGTATCTTGAAAATGTAAAAAACTTTGTTGAAAATACGAACACATGCATTAATTGCTTATAAAATTATTGCTTAATTCTGAATGTTTAATACTGAATTAGAAATGTTGAATTCATTAAGCAGTTACAGAATAAGCAATAAACTACCTTTTATTGCTTATATTTTGTACTGCAATTTTAGCACTATTTATTTCATTAAGAGGTTATTTTTTGTTATCAAACATACTAAATTAAAAAAATGTTTAATCCAATAATTTTAAGCATTAAGTGGCGTTATCAAACAAACCTTAAGTTGTTTCTTTTCTTTATTTCCTTTTTCCAGAGGCGGAGGGGATGAAAACAAGCACCTTCAGAAGGTGTAATTCAAACAAAGCCGAAGAGACCCAAAATCCAAAAGCTCATACATATATGCTTATTCGTGAACGGGGTTGATAATCATCAATTTTGAATATTTACATGAATTTTAGGGCCGTCATTTGGCAAATTTAGATTTTACATTAGCAATCAGAGAAAAAAGAAGAAAGATGTATAAAAAGATAAGGAAAATTTAATTAATAAGTTAGTATTAAAAAAAAAAGGTTTATTGTAGAAAGTCTGAAAAAGGACCAGACTTGGGAGGGAGGAACATTGCAATTCATATTTCAGAATAAAATCGAACTAAAAGTAGGGAACTAAATGAAGTCTCCAAACGCCATTCTCTTTGTTTCTTGCTAAGAGGTCTTCCTTTCCCGGCCTTTTCTCTGTTTATCCTCACATCTGCCAATCCCCAGGTGCAAGAGTTGGCTTCATGATCAACTGAAATAAGTTTGAAGATACCTTCATTTTCTGATGTTGCGCCGCTCTCAGTTACTCCACTGGAGTACTTCACATACAAAGCTCGATCCTTGAAACGTTCTAGGTCTTCTGGAACCTGAACAACCCTTTCGACACCAGGCGAAGACACCTAAGATAGATGCAACATTTTAGGCTTAGAGGTTCAAACAGAGTAGAAATCTCATAAAAACATGCTCTAAGAAAGATTCTTGAGAACTGAAAGACGGCTGAAAAACAAAAGACAGGGCGGAAACCTCAAGAAAGATGTCATCAGGAACAGATTTCTGAACTGCTGCTTCATCAAGCCTTGCCTTATAGGCTGATGAAAAATCTTCAATATCCTTCATAGTAGGAGAACCAGATCTACAACCATACATTGAATGTAAGAAAATTCAGAAAAGACAATGCATGGCAAAAGATGGGAGAAGTCATTATCCATCAACAAGTGATGCCACAAGTGCGTGTCAATTTTTTTTATTTATTTTTTTGGGTACGTGCGTGTCAAAACTTGTTAGCACTTCTGCTTGAGATTCTTACTTGTTTGTGAGCCTCTCTATCCGTACTTGGATGCTGCCATTCACTAATGTCTTGAAAGCATATACTCCAATCTCCCCATCAAATGATGCAACAACTTCCTCAGCAATAGACAAGGCTTTCCTATCCCATGAAGTTCCCGCCAGAGATACTCCACCTCCTCCGGATCCATCCCCAACCTTCAGGTAGAAAGCAAAAGGACAATCAATTAAATGCTCGATTCTGCGAATGCCAGTAACACAACTAGAATTAAGTGACATTCTTTTGAACAACAATACAAAAAATTGGATTTACACATATTAAGAAACTTACACGGGATTCTTCTTCAATATATTCATCCTCTAGATAATCATCCCCATCAATTTCCTCTACAAAAGTATCACGGTTTTGAACATGTCATGCTGTGCTTTCTATTAACTAATAAGGCAAAATACTATTCTATCAGTTGTAGATGGCTTTTGCATCTAGGTGAAGTAATAAAGTTGCACAATATCCCTGCAACATTATGCTGACCAGGCTGACTTATTGCTTTGATTCTTTCACAGCCGGGTTCCACAAGATAACAAAATCCAATTGTGACCATACAAAAGATCAAGGTTTGTTCTAAGATTGTTGATATCAAATGTAGCCAACAGTTATAATACAAGCATGCTTACCTAGTGATTGTCTTTCCCTTACTACTTTGGGAAATATTAGCTTCAGCCTTCAGTATGATCACAAATTCAACTTTCTATCAATGAGGAAATCCTTAAGCACCCTATTATGCACATAATGAAGTCATAAATGTTCCTCATCTTTTCATCAATGTAGAGTATATGATACAAACACTATCAAAGAAACGTTAGCATCATTATCTGATATTTATTGGTCAGAATAACTAGCCACAGAACATCTCTAATATGAAAATCTAGAGGTGCGAAAGGGGTAGGGGGATTGGGTTGCCACATTTCCTTTGTTGTACGATCGGTGATATGTATGAAACTTAGACAACATATATTGTACCTGGTTGATTTCCTAGTGGCTATCTTTTCCTTACTTTTGGAAATACAAAATTCAGTACTATCACGGCTTACCTTCTCCATCACTGAGAAAATTAATAAGTGCTAAATAATGCACATAAAGTCACATATATGTATTGATGTGGCTACAATGTAGAATATGCAAACAAACACTATCAAGAAAAGGTCACTGGCAGCCAAGATATATGGTCAAAACACCATCGAACACGCTGTCAGTAATTAGAGATACTGATACAAATGATACTGTCTAAACTGAGAAATTTATGGTTCTGATTTTAATCATAATTGAAAAATAACTGACCCGAATGCAACTTTCTAACTTGGAGCCGTTTAATGGAGAAACTTCATAGCCTTCATACTTCATATTATGACAGCATTTGATTCACCTAAAGATACTAACAAAATCACAATTCCACGACCTCCAGAAATGCATTAACATTACTAAGCTGTAAATTAAATTGTGCCTTCGAACCAGTTTCTTGATTTTACTTTATCCACTATATTCTATCAAAAATTTCACATTCAAGTTGACAGACACCATACCAATCAGAGAATGGAATAGTAGCAACAGTAATTATACCACTTTGCTGAAGTTTAATAAAACTACACATTCTGCGCTCAGACGAAGAGAATAAAAAAAAATTAAAAAAAAATAAAACTTTCATCCAAACCAGCATAAGCAAACAATATAAGAATTTTATTAATTACCATCTTCAAAGTCATCAAAAAGGCCTTCATCGTCATCCTCCTCTTCTAGACCGTCATCTTCCATGTACACTTCTTCAACCTGGGAAGGGTCAAGAATCGGTTCAGATTGGGAGTTTTTCTTCTTGGCACTGGAAATGAAGGACCCTTTTGGGATACAACCAAACGGGTCGGAAAAAAGATTGCAAGAAAATCGATTGGTTCTGAATGAAATTCTGCAAGAGATATCACATCTGTAGTACATAGGAGTGCCAAAATTGAAGGCCCTTTGCTCTGCCATTGAATTCAATATAGGATTAGGCCTGAAACTCCATGTCATCCTCGAGGGAAACCCAGCAATTAAATCCATATCCATAAAGTTTGAGCAAATGGAACAGAGGAAACAGAGATGATACAGCTGATAATGGCGGTTTTGTACTTTGACTGGTACTGTTCTGGTACGGCGTCGTTTTTTCGATTTTACACGTGGAAATTGTTACTTATCCGTGTGTAAGTTATTTGTTACTTTTATCCTTATAAATCGTTATAACAAAATATTTGCACCATTCTAGAGGTAAAAACGGAACTAGCATTCACTCACATTCACTGTTTGTTATTCGGCTAATCAAATGTCTTAGTTTTAAGGGTTTATTTAAAAGAGACCCCTTGTGGTATCACAAACTACACATAAACTCCTATATGGTAAGAAAATATCTAAAAGACCCCCTTGTGGTTATCCGAAATCTGTCACTCTCCAAAAAGTTACAGAAACGTTTAAATTTTCAGATTTGCCCTCAATTTCTTGCTTTCTTGTTTCTTCAGTATTTCATTCAAGTTTAGCTGTTTAAATTCAGTTTTATCTAAATTCAGTTTTATCTAACAGGAGGAAAAAATCTCATAATCGAAGTAGGGGATAGAAACAATGATTTTCTTCTGCAACTCTACTTCATTTTTATATCCATCACCAAAGACGACCACCATTATCCATCAGTCCTTTTTTGCTATGGCTGGACTGTTCAGGCTTGTTTGAACTTTAAATTAGAGTTAAAAAATAACACGAAAGCATAAGTTTTCAAAGTTCATCGACATTTACAAATCAAATTAATTTGCACTCCAAATCAAGTGGAGTGAATCAAACTCATCTTCTAACCAAATGACCACACTCTAACAATTATAATCCCATGTCAAAGTTTAAAAATTACAATCATTGTCAAAAGCAAATTATATGAAGCTTGCAATAATCGTGTGGCTAATCGTCATAATTAATCAATTAAATTGATCAACCGAGATGTCGCCATTAAAGCCCAAGCCACTTCACCCGTAGAGTCATTGTATTATCGCCGAAATTCCAAACTAGCCCTCTCAGTGCAGCCGCCAATAAAGCTACCACTCAGGGCCGCTAAAATCTCGAATATCCAACGCCGGCATAAGCTCTAGCTAGATCCAAGAATACGCTTGTTCATCAGCTGCAATAATGTCGCCAAGACCCCAACCATAACTTCTTCTTCTGGCGCGAGAGAATGTTTTTGCAGGCAGCTAGTTCGGAGCATAGATGTTGTTGATGATCGTAATTAACTATTGACGACGAAAAGGGTAGTGATCATGGTGATGAACTGACGATGATACTAGCGGCAGCAAATGAGTTTTAGCTAGAAACATAAAATGTAATGAAGAAGAAATACAATTTAAAGGGTATTTTGGGAGTTCTCATTATAAGCTTTGTATACCCCACTCGCAAACTAGACGGTGACACAAAAATGCCGTTAACTTTGACATTTTTCCATCCATTTTCGGATTAACACAAGGGTGTTCTTTAGATATTTCCTTACCACGTAGGGGTTTCCATGTAGTTTGTCGTACCACAGGGGGTTCTTTTGAATACCCTAGTTTTAATATAAGAAACTATTCAAGTAGTACACATTAAAAGCACAATAAATTATAGATGCCAAATTTGTAGAAGAATTGAAAGTAGATTGTGAAAAATAATAAATTCTGGAATGTACAGTTAAATTAATTTTATATGACCTTTAAAGACAATTAATTCAGTTAGATGATTGACAAATGATAAGACAATGTGGTGCATCTGCTGATAAATAAATAAATATAGTTTAAATTTTACAAAGAGTTATGCTAATCACTAATCAGAGAGACACTAGTTTCTCAAGAAAGTAGAGAAAGGTCACCACGAGATGCAATAGCAAAACTTATACAGAATGAAAAAGGGTACACAATGTGATTGTACACTATTAAAGCCAATGATCAAGATTTTTCAACATTGAATTTAAAGATATATTTTTGTTTTAGTACAAATTTCAAAACTTAGTATGAACTTTTTTTCTTGAGACAAAAAGATATAAAAATGAATAAAAAAGAAAATATGACACATGGTATGCTTGTAAAACCAAGGGATGTACTCTCGTCAAGTATGGGAGCCGAAGGGATCTTCGGGCTTAGGGCTTCAATCTAGCTGATATCTTTTTTTTTTTTTTTTTTTTTTGAAATCATCTGATATCGAAACTTGCTTTAGAAGATCAGATTATTTTTCGACAGCTATTGAGTTAATCATCGTCATTTGAATGTCTTATCGCTTTGACTCATCAGTTCATTGCAACAAAAGGTCTGAAGGATTTGGGTCCGATTCTAGTCTTTTTCACCTCATTTTGCATGCACCTGATTCTAGCCACAACGTTTTTTTATGAGAATGCCTCCCAGTGGAAGACCATAAAGGCTAGATGTTTTCGCGGTAAAGCATTCATCCGCACTGATGTCACAAAGTTTATGTATGAGTAGAATGGCTTAATAAAGTGAACAATATGAGCTTACCAGAGTAAAAATAAAAAGGAAGAGAAAAAAAAGAGCTCAGAAATTGATTCAAAGTCCAAACCCTCCAGTAAGCTGCCCACATATGAGCCTTCTCTACCCCAGTCCCCAAAGCTCAAACTCTTAAATGTTGACGATCTAACTACCCTAATCTTTATACCGTTAGTAAGGGCTATTTGTATTTCGGAACTAAGGTATTCGTAACTGAAAACCCTAAATATCCATTATTGCCGTCATTGTACACCCCCGCCGTCTTGTTGTCGGCTTTCACCATCCAATGAAAAACAAAGTCGGGGGAGATCGGCAATGTCGGCATAACTGTTAAGGAAACTTGGCCTTGAACATTAATCCTTAATAATACAGATACTGGATCTCTGATCGAACCACGGCTCTTCATTTGCAACCTGCATTATCTTCTATAAGCAAATCACCCTTTCATCTCACTATAATTTGTTTATCCTTCCACAACAGAAGAGGGAGATTAGGTCTCCAAAAACATGGTCAAAATGTAAGAACATAAAACAAAGAAAGAAATCCATATCAGAAATTGCATTCCTTAGGAAAACAACCAAAAAAAAAAAAAGGAAAAAAACAAAACCACAGCAAAATATAGCTGACAGTAATCACCAGCCAGGGAAAGTGAATAAAAGAACAGAAGAAAAGAGTATTGAGTGGACTTATCTAAGTCAGTACACTAAATTACAATATGACAATGAAGCAGAGGGTTATTCAAGAATCAGTCTTGAGATGTCGGTCCACGTAGGCCTGCAGATAGTAGAGAAAATTCAGCATGAGGGATGTTTATTAGAAACCGCAACCATACATACAAAGAAAAGATAACCACTTAAATCCTAGGATAAAAGATTACAAGTACTCTTAGAGCACACAAGCACACATAGAAGTAAGGTACAAAAGTTCCTAAGCAAAAATTTTATAATCACCAACTTCCACAACTCTTCCTCTTAAAAGTCATCCTAAAAACAATAAGAAGAAGAAGCCTTTATCCAAATTTCATCCTTGCAACAGGTCATATTAACTAAACTAAAGAGTTAATGAAATTCCTGCTCAAAGCACAACATCATCATTGAAGTAAATTTCCTACTGTGATGAGGCAAAGAAGGGAGAAAATACTATATTTTCTATTTTCTCTGACAAAGAAAATTTCTAAGATAGGGGGAGAGAGAAGCAGGAGGGGTGCATATTTTCCACTGAACAAGTTTACAAATTGAAGTTTTCATCAAGCATTTTTTTACCGCTGAAATTATCGACAGTTTCTCAAGACCGGAAAAAAGACCATTCAAGGAAGTAGTCATTATGATCCAAGTCACATGCAAAATTTTCTTACAGAGACAAAAAGGAAAAAAAGAAACTAACCTGTACAAGCTTTGAAATTTTGGTTTTTGCATGTGATAGATATTGATCTATTTTATCTTGAGTCTTTGGGATGTGATCGGCTTGAATTGTAGTTGTTATCTTATCCACCACCTTTTTTACAATGGTTTTATGGACATCTCTGCTCATTTTCCCTAATTTCCACGTTGGCTTCAGTATGTCCTTCACAGACTCTACAAGGGCATTTTTGAACAGGCGTATGTCCTTATCTTCCTTATTACCACTACCATTCTCTACCTTACCACGACCCTCTCCATTTTCTTTGGGAACATTCTCTTTCTCTTTTATTTTATCCTCAGAAGAATCATTACCCTTATGTATGCCTTCTGAAAGAGGTGGTCTTTGCTCCAATTCTGAAAATGCCGGTTTTCCCAGCTCCTTGAAATCTGCAACTCCAGATGTTTCATGCTGCTGGAATTCGGTTTGCCCACGAGTCTCCTGCTTCTTTGATTGGGCACTGTCAAGAAAATGAGCCATAGCACTACTCGGAAGGGTTCCCTCAGGTTCTATACCATCACCAGACATGGGAGAAAATTGTTCAAATGGGATTTGATTCTTCTGTTCAAATGGAAAACCAGAAGTTTGATCATTGTTTTGCCCTCTTTCACCCAAGGGATTTGGCTGAATAGGCATTACAGATTGCAAAACTGACACCATCCGTGTAGCAGTCAAGGGATCCAACGAAGGATGTGCTTGTTCATTCATAAATTTCTGCATTGCAGTTGATGTGGAGTAATACTGACCAACATGCCCATTAGGTATACTACTGTAGAATGATTGACGAGCTCCAAATTCCTGCATCTCTTGTGTTTTAGCAACTTCCTTCTCATGAATCTCATGGTGGTTTTGCATATTTAAAGACGAGGACAAGACCTGACCAGATCCATTCAAGTCAAAACCCTGCAAATTTGAAGGACGTGAAAAATGTAAGTTATCTCTCACATCATTTGTAACCAATGGCTGGTTAAAATCCAGATTTCCAATGCCATTTTGACTAGGGATATGCGTAGGCATGAATTCTGAATTCATAGTGCTCCTTGTTTCATTAACAGCACCAAGTCCACCATAACTGAATGTTTCTGGCTGATTATCTTTACCAGCCATGTCATTCTGCTGAGCATCAGATTTGATAGATACATCAGCCACATGCACTGTTGCCATAAGATGATGACTAGAATCTTCTTCGGCTGAATTCCGAGCGTGAGAGCCAGCAGAAATGTCATCAAGTTTTGTGGACTTCAACCCTGGAGATATTGGAGAATGTTCTTGCCTGTCATTTGAATTTCCAGCAAATGTAGATTCAATGCCACCCAAGTCCCTACTGTTATCTTCATTCAACTCTTTAGTTGAAATGAAACTGCTTTTCTTGGAAGCTTTCTCTTTCCATTCTGGGCTTCGCCACGTGCTGCCTTCAGGGGCCCATTTATCATTTGCTCTCTCTGAAGGAAGTGCAATATCTTCATTTGCTTCTATGTGATCCCCCCATCCAGTGCCTTTAGCATTATCTGACTCACTCTGAGTTTGATCCCAGGTGGGGCCATTCCACGATCCACTCTTGACAGATGAAATGTGGCGACCACCTTCATCATGTTGCCTCTTTTCATGAGTACCCGCGGCTGAATCATCATGAGAAAACCAGCAGTTCTCACGGTTACACTTCCCTGCTAGAAAATATTTGCATAAGGGTTTGCCTTTGTCGCTTCCTACATGCTGACGGTCATGACCAAAGGACGCATTTCCAACACCTTTGATACTATTATCACCAGAACTATCATGGTGAGAAAACCTGCAAGAGGCTCCCCATTGACACTTGCCTCTGACATAGTTCTTGCAGGGAATAGCACCTCTGCTTCTAATCCTAGAGTTGTCATCACCGTAATTTGAATTAGTAACTTTGTCCCACGATTGTAACCCAGGTTCTTCACCATGTCTCATGGGACGTCCTCGTTCCGGTCTACCTTTCCATCTTTCTGCAAGGTCATCCTCAGAAGCCCCATCCATAATGTCAGTATGAAGGAACCTGCATTGGCTCCCTCTTCTGCAATTACCTGCTGCAAAATTTCTACAAATTGAAGATGATAGTCCAGATGAAATTTTTTCATTCCACCCATGGGACTCACGCCTGCGATCATGGAAAGGACTGCGACTCCTGGTCTGACCCCGCACAGGATTCTTGCTCCTGTTTCGGCTCCTGCTCCTGCTCCTGCTCCTGCTCCGACTCTGACTCCGAAGGGAATCACGGTCCCTGCCCCTGCTGCCTCTAACCCAGCTTTGGCTGCGGCTTCTACTTCTGCCTCTGTCTCTACTCCTACTCCTACTCCTACTCCTGCAGTCCAGAATGGCATAAGTAATGGGGATAAAACCCAAAAAAAAACAGAAAAAAAAAATGGACTGAATTTTGTAAACACAGAGAATATTCCCTGTTGCTGTAGAGAAAGAGAGAGAGAAAACAAATACAGATGTATTATCTTCATTGCAAGGTAGAAGTTTATTTCCATGTTGAAAGAAGCAAAATGAAAAGGCACTCCAGACACATGATTAAAGATGCGAGTATCTCAAGCTTCTGTAAACAGTTACCAGGTCCAAGGAGGTAAAACTAAATTTCATTTTTCGGTGCATATGATTAACAAGCAGAACAGGCTCCAAAATACAATGCAAACAAAATTTTCATCCGCAAATGATGACAATCAGCTAGGTACCTAAAACAACATATAAATAAGGAAAATTAAGAATTAAATCAGACTGAAGATCAAATTCCTGTATAAGTGCAGACCTACGAGAGTGGATCCAACCATCATCACGGGAATCACTATGATTTCTTCTGTCCCATCCATCATAACCAGGGGACATTTTCCTGTAATAGTTCTTATTCAGACTTTGGTCCCTAATTTCTGGTTCATCCAGTCCACCTCTGTACATTCTCTCACTTGCATAAGCTTGATCCTTGGGCATCGACAGATTATTTTCAGCTTTGGATGATAAATATTTATGCCCATGCCCAGCATCATAACTTGAATAGTATTCTTTCCCAGACCTAGAATTTCTCAGGCTCCCATCTTCTGCTTCCCACAAGGACTTGCGTCTTCTCACTCTCTCATCCATACTGCAACTTATCAAGATGAGTCTTCTCTCCTTCCACCGTGCAGCATGATCTGAATATCAAGTAAACACCATAAATAGATTTAGAATCACACTTATTCTATAGACTGAGTCTGAGTTTTAATAAAAATGCTTGTGTCTAAACAAACGAGCACGAATATTCACTAAACAGCAATATTCTGATATTGGTTATTACGAATCTATGATCAACTCCTCCTCTCTATGTACAATATCTAACCTATTAAGAGAACGCAACAAATATGAAACACTGAATAGAAATCCAGTTTTTGTTAGTGCTACAACACTCGACCTCGACATGTAAACAAATTCAAATTTAGTGAACATCATATAGTCGCATTTGCATTTATAGTAGGCTGGAGCAAACATAATAAGGTGTAAACGATATAGAAAAAGCAACCAGAAATAGTAGACGATATAGAAAAAGCAACCAGAAACACACAACTCTCATGGATTAGCTACTCTTAAGTTTGTGGTTCCCATAAAACCAAAGGAACTTGCATGCCATGGAATCTTTGCAACCAGGAAAATTTTCAGCTTTTAATGCTCCCCCCACCTTAAAAGCCAAACTAATCATACGAAATATAAGAATTCTCAGACACTATATCATGGAAGTAGACTTTTCAAATGTCAAAGGCCTGCTCATTCCATCTCCGTTTCTCTTATTGGTATAATCTTCACAATCACTGCATTTTTCCTACAGAAATTCAAAATGCTAATGCTTTCTCTTTCCACATTGCCTCAATTTACCCTTACACTGATCACACAGATTTTTTTTTTTTTGTTTTTCCCTACATTGGGGACCCAGCAAGGAGAAGCCATACTTTTTTCTTTGATGAGTGCTTTTTCCTCTCAGCTCTATATTTCCATGCCTCAGATCTCACCCAAAAATTAATGTGTATTTTGCCTACTTTGAAAGCAGAAACCTTTTAACCAGAAACATTAAAGAACGAATAAAAACTGCATCCATCCATATTTTGTTCCAAACGTATCTGCTTCTATGCCAAATTCAAATTATCATAATTTATTTAAAAAATAATAAAAACGAACTCAAGGATTCCCTCAAAAGTTACAAACTGCAGCTTGGAAAACCTATAACAGGTGCTACACATTTAAATCACTGAGAGTGACCCTTCTCTCTTAATCTATTTTTAACTTGCTAACTCATTGCAGCTTCACATCACGTAGAAGCCAAACAAATATGCACCTGAAATTTTCCAAAAACCGCCATTACCACGCAAGAAAAAATCATTTAGAAGATTGAATCCGGCATTAACAAACCATCCACATGCACAAAAAAAAAAAAAAAACCGCCTTTTTCCATCAAAGCCAGCTCAATCAATCAGAAGTTCTCCTAATTCCCAAAATCCTAAACAACTAAAACCCTAGCCAGTCAAGAAAACACAGATACAAGAGCAATACTCAATTCAACAATCATAACACATGGAAATTCGTAATAAATATCAAAGGAGATTGCAAGATACCAACTTAAGTTAGAACAAGAAAGAAAAAACAATTAAAATTAGAAAGACAGAGAGTGGCTGCTTTTAACCTTAATTTTGCTTCACACACGTTTGCCAATGTTGTTTCAAGCTCGTCATTCAAAACCCAACTAAAGATAAAAAGTTCCTTAATTTACTGAAAGAATTGAACGAAATAGAATGCACAGGAAACAAGAAGACGAAGCCCTAATTCATAAATCACCAGAACAAATATTGACAGATAAAAAGAGAGAAAGTCTCGGCTGACTAACCAATTTATAAGAGGAGAAAGAAAAGGCGTCGGGGGAGAGAGTTTAACAACGGCGGCGTGCGGCCGCGGTACGGCGGATAAGGAGCCTCTTTGATAAGCAGGTCCTGAATTGCTCTGAACTTCGGAGTAAGGGAGACTGGAGAACGTGTTCGAGTGTGTGAGTGCGTGTTTGGGAATCTTTTATTTGACTGCCTAAAGTCGTCGGTTTCATATAGTGTAGTATTTTTCAGTTTTCTGAAAATCCTCCCAAATTTAGACAATTTAGAAGTAGATATTCTCCAATTATATTCTTTTTTTTTTTCTTTTTTGAAAACTCCAATTATAAATGGAGAAGTAATAATAATGATAGAGAAAAAAAATGATTTTTTCCAAAAGAAAATAAAAATATCTGTTGACTTTCTTCACCTTATAAAATTGTGATTCGATACTTTTTGTAAGAGTACATTATTATCTTATTATTGATTTTTAAATCTATTATATATTAGAACTATAAATCAATTATTATACCATAAGCTCATAATAATATTAGTATCGAAAAAGATTACTCCCTCTGTACCATAATTATTGTCCAGTATAGATTTTCATTTTTAGTTCAAATTGTATTAAAAGTGAAATCTCAAATTGGACAATAATTTTGGGATAGAATGGGTATTTCTCTTGGAATAAAGTTGGTTCAAGTTAGTAATTACACTTTTAAAGAATTTGTCCCCTAATTTAAGGGCGGAAACTTCATTCCATGTCACTTTCTTTGCAATCGCATTGAATCATTCATTGTCCTTATGATTTTGAAACATTTCAGTCAAAAAATGATCTCCGTTAGCTATAAATTTTAAAAATAATAATTAAGATCAAACAATGGGGAAGAATACTGTTGCCTTAACCAAAGAGTTGCAGATATCATAACTGTGCTGCAAGATGAAGATACTAATGAGAAAGTATCAGAAGTAATTGAAATCCTTGTACTCTTTCAAAATCTGAACTCATGCCATTTACAGTTGTGGTAACTTGATGCTAAAGCTGGAAAACAACGGCCTACAAAGAAGAAAGTGAAGCCGTCAGATTTGCAGGTTGTTGTGTAGATGTTGTTGCATTGGCATTATCAGTCCAATTCTTGTCACCCCAATGCCATAACATACTCTCCCAGAAACAGAAGTTCTCGTAGCATATGTTCAGCCGAGGGTCTTGAATCTTAATCTTCCAATGACCATCTGAGTAGTTAGCTTTCTCGGCTTGCTGGCGATCCCACTCGAGTGCTGCCTTCTGCTTAGAACGGAGCAAGCAATACTTGTGTAGATTCTCAGGCATTGCATCGTGGATCTTCCACCATGTCTTGTGTGCCACATCGCTTGCGAACTCTTGCAAAATGTCTACGTTCCAGTTGCAGTCGTAGTCCCTGAAACATATCCACGGTTTCAAACCTAGGTAATGAATGACATAGAGAACTGGAGGATCAGCTCCAAAGAGACGTATTTTCTTTTCTTTGATCTCATCCTCATCACCCATCCAAAAGTGTTTCAGGAAGTTCATTTGCTTAGGGATCCGGTGCCACCATGTGAAGATTTCATTCAGGTAGCCCTGGTCTCCGCCATTGTATGACTCAATCTCATTTATGTGATCCATCAGCAGCTGGAATGTGCAATTTGAGGGTTCTACCACCATCACACCAGAATTAAACAATGTACCATTGTTCCCTATAGCAGTTATCTCAGGCATTTGAAACAGGAGATCAATGTTCCTGAGTATCAATAAATCAGCATCAATGAAAATGATCTTATCGTAATCTGTCAACTGCCAGAGCCGGAATTTGCTGTAGTTCCACTCATTATAAGCATCTCGTTCAGCTTTTGGGTTTCTAATCCTTTCAATTGTTCTGATCTTCCACCCAGCAGCTTCCAGGCCTTCCCTGTGATACTCACTCACTGTCTCATCAACAAGAATAACAAGGTCCCTAGTTGAACCTGACATCCGAATGCTCTGAGCTACAGCAATGGCACCACAAACATAAACATTTGCAGAGTGAAGGATTGTTGCATATGCTTCACGAGGTGCATTTGGGGAACTCCAGAGCTCTGTATCACAAAATTAGTTGAGCCTTTTGAGTTATAGATTTAAGTCAAAAAGAAACTAATCTTGACAGCAGAGCACTCACAATATAGTCGAAAAAGCTTCCAATTTTTACATAATACAATAGTAATGACAAGCAATGATAGTGAAATTGATGCAAGTACATTAGCCAACAAATTGAAAACAATTTGTATTAATGAGTCAAACATGAAAAGTCAACTAAGTAGCCGAACAAAAATGAAGGAGAGAAATTTCAGTTCAACTGACCTTTAGTCTTAAGAGGAACTGAAAGTTCACACGATCCAACCGGAAGGTTAAGCTTTTCCCTCAATGTATTCAGATTGGGTTTAAACAGCCATGCATTTCCTTCACGCAAAATTAGCTCTTTGCAAGTAAAGAGATTTGGTATGGGGAAGCATTCAGTCAGCAGAAGAATATGCATATCATGGGATCCTTTCGAAGTTGCAGCAAGGCCAGCAGAAGCAAGCTGTAAATGCAAGCGAGCCACATCTCTTGCCCAGTCCCCTGATTTGTTGCAGGGAAGCTTCACTGCCATCAAATTAAGGCGCGGTTTACCAGAAAACTGAAGTTTTGGCAAAGCATGACATGTGGGAGTCTCAAATTCTTCTTCTTCATCTATCCATTCAGGATACAATGTCTCCCAAGTGACATCACCCGCAACACTCTCAAGGTTTAGAACAACATGTTCAGCATCAGGAAACAATAATTTCCACTGATCAATCTCACTCTCATGGAAATTAAGCAATCCTATTCCATGATAGTCATGCCTATCAGTTAGAACATTAACAACTTTGAAAACATCATCCCATTTTATAGCTGAAAGTGAAGTGTAGCGTCCATCTTCTATTTCTACATCTCTTCTCCATCTACTGAGCAAACTTGCACTGATTCTGTGGCATATTACTAATAAGTAATAGAAAATCTAGTGAAACAATGGAAATGCATCAAAACCTAAAGAAAAAAGATAAGGAGATTGTTCATGAATGGTGTGCAGTGTGATGACCAGACCTCTAATTGAGAAAAGGAACACAGCACACAGTAAATTAACATAAGAATACACAAAGTTTACATGACTTAGAATCATAATCAATTTATCACAAATAGTGAGGTTAAAATAACAAACAAAGAGGATTTTCTATCCATCAAATGTGACAAGATGAATAACCTACCGAGAATTGGAGCTCGTTGCATAATCAGTGTCATAAAGAGATGGAGAGTGTAAGAGTGTCAAAAAAACTCCTAGTATCAGAACACCGAATACCAGCTTTAAAAATGTAATTCTGCAGTTTAAAGTCCATTCTTGTTTAGGACTGTAAAGGACCTTATCCCCATCTTTCGAAGATTTATGCCGAAAAAATCTTCTTCTGTACGTGTCATCACTGAAACGATGTAGAATAGAGTTAGCGCATGCAGCAGGAAAAGTAACAATTAAATGTGGGAAATGGAGAGAACTATAATCTACAAAGAACGAAGAGAAACACGCAGAAAAGTTTCAAGCTACCAGAAATTCAAAGTGTTACAGATATCACAATGACCAAAGATTATAAAATCTGCACATGAAACAAAATGAGCTATCAAAAGGGTGCTTGGTTAATAACTGGACAGTGCTGAGCCCATTTGATCACTTTGCCAGTTTCTACTTGAAATGATATGTTAATACTGTCTTCTAAAGCCAATAAAAGACAGGACATATTCTTGAAGAAGACTTATTCCTTTGTTCTAACTAGATAGATGGAAGTTACTAGTGCATTGAACCGCATTGTAACTCTTGGACCACAGTCCCTCCTCCTTAAACACAGTAGCAGGGGAATACAGAGCCAAGATGGATATGTATATGTTGCGGTTATGATAGTCTCATAATCTCCCAGACATACACGAGTTTTTTAACACGAAGAATCCATAAAATCACCAATTAGTTCTAGGTCAAGTAATTGACATAATCTAAAGTCACTGTGTGGCAGAAGCATAACCACTGAAAAGGCGAGTTCACTAAATGCACATACTTAGAATCCCTACTGTCAAACGATAAAATCAAACAGCATTCGAGCATTTTGATCTGCCAGAGAATAAATAACAACCAAGAAATGCAGAGGTAGCTTTGTTCATGGAACCTAACACCACTTCCTACACTAACAACATGTGAAGACGGAAGGGATTCTTCCCCATAACAATACACTCAGGACATGTGTTTTCAATTCCCTCATCAAATAAACCAAAGTAGACCTAAACAACGAAATCAAATCAAACCAGTTACAAAGTTTTATAACCTATACAAAAAGCATACATGCATAACCGAATCTTATACTTAATCGTTCAGTAGCAAAATCAGGAACAAGGTAAATAGAAACTTTGCCCAGCAACTTAAGCTCATTCAAAACTTCAAAACAACCAAAATCAGCATACTAACAGAAAAATCAAACGAACCCATTCGTATTTAAATCAAACTAAAACCCATCAAGTTATCAAGGATCCTTATTAGATTATTAAGCTTGAAAAACCCAATAACATCACAGTTCACAAATCACATAACAATCAAACAATCGAGTTCATATCAGGAAATGAGAGGAAGTTCAGTAAGGATTTAATTACTTCAACGATGATACTCTGTGCCTGGGTTCAGCGGAATTCGGCGAGGCACTGAGAATTCCTCTCATGCCTGCAGCTTAAACAAAACGTATTCTCTTACCAAATGGCAGATTTGATGATTCGAGGGAAAATCACAAAAAAACAAACGAAACCTTACTGTATTACTGGAGGGAATAAAAAAACAAAAAAATAAAATAAAAAAGAAGAAGCAGAAATGGTCAAAATAGAAGCATTTTATGTAATAATACTTCAGAAGTTAGCAAGTTAGCAGAAAGAAGATGATCATAGGAATTTCCGGTGGAAAGCAGATAATAATTAAAAATAAATTTATTTAATGCAGAGGAATTAGTTGAGCAGAGATATTAGTACTACTATTTTAGTAGTATACTAATAATATTTTTTATTTAATTAGATGTTAATCAAAATATTTTCTGACAAGTGGCCGGAAATTGAGGGGATCTGATTACGTCAGATAGTGGTTGTCTCTTAGAGATATTATGATGTGGGCCAGGTTTTCTCTGTCAAATTACTATCGAAAACGAGATACATGAGTCGGCTACCATCAAGGAGTAAGACGCACAAAAAAAAGAAATAAAAAAAAAAATTCTTTTATTTTGTTTTGAGAATTTTTTACCCGATTTTTTTTAACAATATAATTATATACTATCTCTTTGGCCCTTTTCTTATTTTTATTTTTTGTAAATTACTATTCAGTCCAATCATTGGTTGGCGGTAGGTTACAAGCTCAAACTGAGATGGTACGGCGCAAAAGTTGTCTGTCGGTTGGATTTATTATTTCATCTTTTTCCCACTTTCGCCTTTCGAAATGTATAATTTAGTCCCTTATAATTTGTACGAACCACCAATCTGAGTGATTGATTCAAACCTTTAATATGAACTTCCTCTGTCTTTAAAAAAAAAAACTAGTTTATATCCGTGAATTGCACAAAATGATAGATTATTCTTATTTAAATATCAAGTAATAATGTTTAGTAATTGTTAAACTTTTAATGTTGAAGAGGTACAAAACGAAATATAGTATATGATGTTGGGGATACAGTGATGAAATGAATCAAAATCGAGAAAACTAATGAATATTTATATCATCTGGATTTATTCTTTGTAAACAATATGTTTTGTCCGATTGCTAAATTCTTCTTTCGTGCTGCATATAAGTACTTTAAGACCCTATATAGGTTTCACCTTAGAAAATGTAATTTATATTGTTGTCCATGGGCAAAGACTGGACGTAGCAAAAATAGACCCACTTGCGAGAGTGACCCTGACTCTTATTGATCGTCATAACAAAACACGCAACAGTCGATTATTCTCTCATCTAGAACCTAATCGGTATTCTTATGTCGGACGGTTGGATGTCCATAAATGAAACAAATTTTTTTGGTTTTATATATGATTTGTATATAATAGTAGCCTCGATGACATGATCACCTAGCTCATCAACCTGAAGTCTGATACCGTTGCAAACCAAACAGGTCTAGATTTTGAAGAAGTCCTTGCCGCTATTATTCATCCTTGATCAATTTGATTGAGTTCTTAGAAAATTAGAATGCTTCCTATTTGATTAGAAATCCCAAAAGAAAAGTAAAAAAATTTGGCACATATACAAATTAATGAAAAAGAAAAAATTTAAAATTTGTTGAAATTATGTTTCCCTGTAAAATAATAGCTATGAATATGTAAACATAATAATGAACATATCAGGGATAAATCAAATAATTTTTTTCATCTATTAGTAAACCTTACATGGGTATCATCCGAGTATGACAACTAGGGATAATTTTTTTCCGACCAAAATATTAAATTTGATTGATCATTGTGTGCCATTGCTAGTTCTTGGGATAGGATTGGGGATAATAAGATATAAGATATTTATTCACATATAATCATATTAGAGAATCTATTTTTATGTGATATGTCAATTTTACTTATTGAATATTTTGTCTATCATTATAAGAAGCTATTAAAAGTTAATTCATTTGGACATAATATTTTAAATTTAAATTCCACAATTAATAAGTTCAGAGTAAGTAAATACAATTGTTTGAATAAATAGATTAGTTGACTGATAAAAATTGACTGTAAAAACAATACTAAAATAAATATTAAGTGAGAAATTTGAACAAAACACGTGGCAAACGCCGAAATACATATCTTTTACTCTTTTTCTTTTAATACAAATTACAAACTCTTACGCTTTTTTCTTATATATATATACACACCCACACACACACACATAAACTTCTATGATATAAATGAAATGCCAATGAGTTCTTTTAATAGAGTGATTGTGACACTTTTAAAAAATTTACTTACGAAATCTGACTATGACACATTAATCATTTTATGAAGTCACATAGTATTAAATATAAAAGTAAATTCATTAGAAAAAAATTAAGAAAAATCACACATAAAACAAAAATATTGGAAAAAATAACTATTACTAAAAAAAATGTAATACTTGTAATTTTGCTTTCTCATCCAATCCCTACAATTCTAAAATAAAATAAAAAAAAGAGCAAGTAGGAAAACTTCTTGATTCTAATAAATAATCCGTACAATGAAAATCACCCAATAGAAAAACCTTCAACTGATTAAAGATGGCAAATTTCACTGTCGAAAATGACAAAGATGGGTTAGAAGACAAGAGAAAGAATGAGATCTGAATAGAAATATTGAGAAAAAAAAATAGATTATAATAATTTATGAAATTTGAGAGATCATCCATTAAATAAAAAACAAAAGCCGATATATTGCACTACATATATTTACAAAGAAAATAATACATATAATCTATTCATTTTTACCTGAAATAATTTGCTTTCTATATAAGTCCAGTATAGCTCTTTGTATGTCACAAAATAAAACAAAATGAAAATATTCACATATCAATATTGATCTCATAACCAAGTAGTCATAATTGATACTGAAAAAATAAAATAAAATAAAATAATAATATGTATTATACGTATATATCTTTTTGAAATCATGTACTTTAACCTAGTTATAATCAAGTGGTCATTTTTATCATTATCACTCATGCCATCCTATTCAAATAAATATAATAACATAAAATCATATCATTATGAAAATTATAAAAATTTTCAAACTGAAACGCTAAAAAATGACCCGATAGTTCCATGTCATTCACCGATGAAAATATAAGGTCTAAAACTTTTCCAACTGCATCCAATTTTTTTTTTCTGAATAAAAGGTTGTGTGGATCATTTAACTAATAATCACACTACTTACCACAATGTAGGGACATATAAATCAAAATATTTACATATAGGTAGAATATATATGTTGTTGCGAATTTCATAAAATAGAGGGTGCCGAAAATGTTGGGGGTTGGAAAAGTACCTACAAATCTGCAAAAGTTAAAATATACTGTATCGGAGCGCATTTTTTGAAGGATCTACACATCTACCAAAGAAAAAAAATACCATGATCAAAATCTTACAGAATAGTAATATAATGGTTTAGCATTTGTTGTTCAAAATTGTCGTCAATTAGTAACGTAGATAGTGTTATTTATAGTTTGTTGAAGGGATGAGAATTAGGGTTGCAATCGAGGGTGAAAATAGGAAAAATATAAATATGGAATAAACCATATCTTTATTTTGATCAATAGTCTTATCTCTACATTTCTAAATATAGATAAGAAGTCAATGCTTTTTGAATTATTAATATTTATAGCTCATAAACAAACACATCGATCCCTCGCACCTCAGTTATCTCTATTTTTATTTCCAGCATAATCGTCTAAATTTGTGTTATTGATATAAAATAAGTGATGAAATAAAGGAAGAATGGATGAATTAGCCCCAACCTATACGTGTTTGGTAAAACTATCATTGATTTAATCACTTTAGTTAATTTAACTGAATTTATCAGTGTTTTGATTGGTTTTTAATGTTTCTATTAACATTTCTTTTTTCTTTTAATCGAAAATTTCCATCTTTAATAATAAAAAAGAATTTATCAAAATACCATGTTCCCTTCCACCATTTTTTCAGATGGCCGCCGTCAACCACCACCTACTAAAATCCTAATTATCATTCTTTCCCCCTCTATTCTTTTGCCATGAAAAATATTATACAAACCAAAATTATATGCGTCTCTGGAGAAAGCGTTCTTGCAAATGAAACAACGCCTTTGTCCCTCAACTTGAATCCTCGGAAACGATACCTCATATTAAAATCTAAAATTTCTTCTTAAGTAAAGATTGGTGTGACACGGATATTAAAAATATTCGCCAAAAATCGAATTGCATTTTGAAATTCACGAATAAATCTCAATATTAATTAAATATCAGCGAATGAGATGCGAGAAAACATATTCAAAGAATTGTATTAATTAACTGCAAGTCTGTCAAGTCATTAAAAAGAGTAATGCTATTAGAAAGTTAGGTCATCCGTAAGTTATATGAAATAATGTAAAGAGATAGTTTGTAGTTTGTACAATCTCAATTTTTATTGATGGCCGGAGGACTACTAAAGTGGTAAAATATTTGTTCTTTATAATGTTTGGCAATCAAATCTCAAAATTTTCATGGTGGTTTACTATGGAGAATGAATTTTTTAAAAATAAATTAAAAATAAAAAATCATTATAGGTTGGAACTAAATTAATAAATTAATAATGAAAAATCATCGGTAAATAATTAATTAATCTCGTTAAATTGATTAAACTGGCTAAATGAATTATAGATTACGACTAAATCAATGAAATGGAATAAGTTTGGATGACATTATACCTAAAACATAAAGGTCGGGACTAATTCAACAATTTATCCTTAAATAAATGGAATCAAATTTGATATTTTTTTATTAAAGAAATGTACGTAATTAATGAGATTAACTTTCAATTTATTCTGCTAGTTAGTTTAGGAATGAATTTTACTCATTAATAATATGATAATTCATATATAAAAAATGGGTAATTAATTAACTAATTTATCAATTTACAAAAATAGAAAATTAGTGAAATGGATGAGTGATAAATGAGTTAAAGTAACCAATTTACCAAAAAGTTTTAACGGTTTAATGAAGGAGGGTCTCTTTTGTCGACATGTCCCAGAAGAGAAACGTGAGCTTAACAAGTAGCGGAGAAGTCTCTGGACTATCCCATTGCACGACACGTGTCGACTAAAAACTCTCCTATTATATATAATATAAATAATTCATTTTGTTTATTAAAATGACACAATAAAGTAGACTATGTATTTAGAATGGATCAACTGATGGACTATAGATATAATAATTGTAAACATGATGTAATGGAATCTTTGACTTATCTAATTATTTAGTTATTTAAGATTTTTCAAGAATATGTTACTAAACTTATTACAAAACTCTAAAGTAATCCTCTATGACTATTTTTAACGGAATAAAAAGAGTATATAACTTTGAACAAATACTTAAATCTGAACAAAATGCTAATTTGATAATTTCTTTAGATCAATGAAACTTCTCATTCATGGGGTGTTCAAAAACCCCAGAATCATTTAATTAAACAGTAAACTGCTCAAAACCAAACCGT